TGTTTGAGCAGAGAAAAAAATAAAACATGCAGGGCTGCGGCCCTCCAGGACCAGGACTGCCCACCCCTGGTTTAAACTTTATTTTTTTAAGGTATCTCCGATTGAAAATTAAAATAAATCAATACATTCAAAATTTTAGTATGGATTACAAATTTTAACTGTTTTTGCCCGGTCACATAGTTCTAATCATTGCCTTCCTGCCGTGTAAGCAGACACAAAGCATTGTGGGAAATGTCTGTAAAATGAAAACCATGACCGAAAGCAACAGTCAGCAGGATGTATACCTTCACAATAAGTGTGTTTATCTGGGAGGGGGGCTGTTGGATAGATCACGTGTGTTGTGATTCATTGACAGCCATACCTTCTGCTGTTCAACATAATGATGACCGGTAAGTAATTAGTTATTAGCAGTACTTTTAGAAAGCACAAATCTGCTTATGAATTATAAAAATTTGTAAAGCCACTGAAGCACAAATGAAATATTTAGGACCGAAATTAGCGGATTTGCACTTTAGCGGGCTGGTGCCCACCACTGCAGTTTGGAGCGCCAGTGCAGAGACTAGAGAAGGCAAACCTGWCATCGGTTCAAATCTCCTGACTGCCACTTCAGAACGTGGGTGGGAGAGGTGACCCACATCCTCCTCCAGAGGGTGAGCAGCTGAAAGAAAAAAGAAAAAAAATTGATCCCACCGAAAAACTTTAAAGTTTCTGATTGTAACATGACATAAGACTTCTCAGGCACTGATAAAGCCCATTTAACCCTGAACAATGCTGTATCTCTACAGCACCTTTCAGTTTGTTCTGGTCGCTCCATCTGGTTTGATTGCATCCAAACTCAGGATTTATTCCATAGTTTAACTTTTAATGTCATTTTTTTAATATTCTTTTAGTAGCAGGTTGAGGGTTCTAAACTTTGCTTTCTTTCTGTAGGTGAGCAGTGAATTTGAGGCGGCCCCAGATGTGTTCTTTTACCGCATCCCCAACCTGAGCCGGAACAGGCAGTACAGCATCTGGGTGGTGGCCGTCACTGCTGCAGGCCGAGGAAACGCCAGCGAGATCATCACTGTCAAACCCATGGCTGATGGTGGGTGGAGTTTCTCTGAGGTCTTATTACACAATCTGTGTCACATCCACGACACCTTCTCTAACGTATCTCAAAGTATGCTGGCAGACCTTGATCAGGTTCCTACGACACGTATTAGGGCCACTTTGCAGATAGAAAAAAAGGAGGAGCAAATCTCCACCAAAAAAACTCAGAAATTTTAAGATTAATTTCAGAAATTTTCAAGAAAAATCGGGAAATTCTCTTATGTAGGAAAAAACCTTCGAAATTTCCATTATTAATGGCAGAATTTTTTGAATTTTTTTATATTTTCTGAC